TTTTTAATAGTGATTTCAATATAGTTGTACGTTTGTTGCTTCTATTTATACTTTTATTGTTCTTGTCATTTTTAATCGTTAAAAGCCATTCAGAGTCATGTATGAGAGATGGCTGTATGAGAGATGGCTGGCTATGTAAATAAGTAAATATATTCAAAAGAAGCAATCTGTGTTTAGGTCTAAAATTATGAAGTGTGACAATATTTAAAGTTAGAAAAATCTGAATTTCAATCTACAATTTAGAATGGCAAAAACATGAAAAAGCATTGAAAAACGACAAAAAAGAACAATTTTATTCATTATACATAAGCTATTTGAAAGCTCAAAATAAAAATATTCTAACATTAAGATCAGGAAAAAATATTAAGAAATAGAATGGTCCTATCTTGAGTCTCTCTGGTACAAGAAGGACGGAAAACACGGTCAGGCTTTCAAAAGTCTATAAGCAGAACCTATATAAATATATAAGTATTTCATATTGGAATCTGCTTCTTGACCTGACCTACCTCAAAGGGGTAACACCATGCTTGAAGGCATGGCAATATTCTGTTCCTTTCCTGGGCTCATATTTTGCTAACCACCACATTTCTTCTCCATGGTCTTATTTGTGGTTCTTTACAATTTTAATCAAAAGGACAGAAATTGTTTATTCATAACAATGACAAACCATACATGACAAGGTTAGAAATAGATGACTACCTTCTTCACTTGAAATTGAAAATCATCATGGGACTTGATTAACAAGACAAGGAGTAGAATAATTACATACCCTAACTGGTCTGACTATATCTTTACTGGGACTGGAATGAAGCTCAGACATAGTAGAGGAGTTAGTAAAAAATGTGTAACATGTAAAACTAATTTCAAACACTAATACTATCAGCAAAAGTATAATCAAGAACGGGCAGAAAGTAAATTGTATCATGTTTATGGTGTGCAATATGTAGACTTCACATTCATATTGTAATGATGGGACTTTTGTATTCAAAGACCCATTTTGACAGTTACAAAAATAATTTCATGACATATATTAATTTTTTTTAGAAACTGTATCTAGCAAAATGCCTGAAATAAAATATGTGGAAAAATCAGAAAAAAAATCTGACTGATTTAAAGAATTATGGCATTTATAGACTGACATAATTTTCTAACAATTCTGGGCAGCTGTCAAAATATTTGATGGAAACATAGAGACTAGAGAGAGAGAGAGGGGAAATGTAGCCTTTCAAATGTGATGAATCACAATTCCTTTTAGCTAAAGCCAATGTAGCCAATGGAAAGAAATGCTGACAGCTGGAATTTAAGAACATTTGAAGATCACATATTTGCCATTCTTGTGGAGTTTCTGCTCCTTTATCATCAAACTTTATACTTATAAGCTACTTTACAAATCTCCCATTTGTTCCTATTCTACTTTAGTTAGGCTCCAAGAGTTATCCTGATAAGAAGTGGTGTGCCCTGCAATTTTTGGCCTGCTTCAGGGAATTGATGACTCATTTTAAAGGTGAAAGTACGACACTGCATGTCACAAAAAATAAACCATTCATTCTGATTTTTAAGTTGCAAGAAAATGTAAAAATTGTATCACTTAGGAACTCAAAGGTTCCCAATATTTATTAATATCTATTAATATTGTAATTTATAGCTAATAAAGATCATCTATGTAGCTTTCAAAACACTTCATTTTTATTTTTCAGTGCTGAAAAATATTTTATTTTATTGACCTTCAAAAGTAAAAAGAAGACTCTAATACATACAAATTAGTAACACAAGTAGTAAACTTATAAGCAGAACAGAAATTGATGATAACATTTATTGTTGCTGACTTTTTATCTAAGATGTAATTATGTAGACTATTCAAGCAGAAATATAATTCAAACCCAATATGAAGGCAAATGTATGTGTCCCAGGATAATGGGTCGGCCACTAGGACCAGAGGCTTAGTCTTCTGAGCTTTTGGAGTTGTGCTGGATCCTATCCTCAGGAAACCTCTCTAGCAGAATGTGTGCTTTGGACTGTTCTTTTGTGTAGTATTTATGCAATACCTGGTTGTGTGGGGCTTTTAATTGTTGATTGAGGTGTTGAAGGCTAGCTATAAAGTTGTTGGCTGTTTTCTTGTGCTATGTTGGCTTCTAAGTACTTGATAAGCCTGTGGTAAATCAGCATTAATTGATTCATGAACAAGGACATACATTCAATTTTGCAGCTCCTAAGGTTGTTGGCCGAGCAGGGACAAAAATAGCCAAAGAAATGACTGAAGCCTGGAAAACAGACCCTTTGTCAAGTAATAGGAGTGCTGATGGGCTCCAGTAGGAGTCTGAAGGCTCAGAAGATTAAAACTCTGGTCCTGGTGACCGACCCAGATTTGATCTTCACACCCAATATCTTCAAAGAACAATATAACGGAAATTGGCAATTTTACAGAGATTTTAATAGAATAAACTGCTAATAAAAAGTATATAATCTCCATTTGAGGTCAGACTTCCATTTCAGAGCAGCTGAAGCCAAGTTGACTGCACAGATGTCCTCACTCAAGAACAAGATGTGGCATACTAACATACTTAGACTAAAACAAGTTTTTCTCATTTAAATGCTGATATTGAATAAGGTCTGCTGAAGAGATCTCATAATAATGGTTTGAATATTGTATTTGTCATTCTACAAATACAAAGGACTATTTGGCCTCTGCTTCAAGCATTAGAAGGTATTAAGCAGAGAGGCCCAATTAATACAAATCTTAGGATAAACTATTTTTTTCTAGGATGAAGTAAACTTATAGGCAAGGACTTTCTGAATTAATGAACTATCTTCCATACTTTTAATCAATAATTCAAATGGGAAATTCTTATGAGGGCCTCCACAGAGGCACAGATTAACAAGAGTTGGAAGGGACCTTGTTGGTCATCTAGTTCAACCCCCCCGCACAAGTAGGAAACCCTACACCATTTTTGATAGATGGTAGTCCAGAATCTTCTTGAAAGCTTCCAATAATGAAGTTCTCACAACTTCTGAATGCAAGCTGTTCCATTAGTTCTCACTGTCAGAAAATTTCTCCTTATTTCTAGGTTGAATCTCTCCTTGTTCAGTTTTCATCTGTTATTCCTTGTCTGGCTTTCAGGTGCTTTGGAAAATAGTTTGACCACTTCCTCTCTGTAGCAGCCCCTCAAATATTGGAACACTACTATCATGTTTCCTGTGGTCCTTCTCTTCACGAGTTTTTGCAACTGTTCATCGTATGTTTTAGCCTCCATGAAACATCCATGAATCAGTGTTAGCCCATTCACTTCAATCACTGTATTTATAATGCACACAATCATTCATTCTTGCTACTCTATCATTTCAACTATAATCCCTTGTCATTCTAATGGAAGTTGCAAGAATTGCTGTTTCAGCCTGTTATGACTACTCCTCTTTATGTTTTTAATTTTGAATAATTGCTGAGCAAAAACAAAGAAAAGGACAAAATGCTACTCAAAACAGTAAAACAGTAAGCCCTGCACCAGCACTTACTAAACCCAGAAAGTATTTGCCATACTAAAGAACATTCAACATTAAATGTTGTAAAAGGAAACCAGCCCGTCAATGAATACAGTGGCTGGACACCATAAAAGTTGACACCAGCCAGAGCATAGAAAAACTCAAAGTAGCGCAAGATCAAAGTTATGGACACCTGGCTCATAGAATCATCAAGAATCAGACATGACCACATGGATATCATCATCATCATTAAATGTCATTTATTTTTAATCCTGTTCATTTTACATATTTTTTACAGGTGCTATACTTTTATGATAGAATAGAATTCTTTATTGGCCAAGTGTTGATTGGACACACAAAGAATTTGTCTTTGGTGCATAAGCTCTCAGTGTAAACAAAGAAAAAATAAAATATATTTTATAAAAAATAAAATATATTTATTATAAATATATAAAGCCATCATGCTGCTAAATAAATAATTCCCTCAAAACTGTTCTACTATTTACAAAGTGTGCACTACTATTACTGTTAATCTTCTCATCACTCCTTATCACTCATCCCCTCCCACTTGTGATTGTAGGACTGTAACTTTGTTGCTTGTATTCTTGCGATTTATATTGACTGTTCCTAGTATGATTTGATTGTTGATTGTACCCTATGACTATCATTAAGTGTTGTACGTTATGATTCTTGATTCTTAATGAATGTACCTTTTCTTTATGTATACTGAGAGTATTTACACCAAGACAAATTCCTTGTGTGTCCAATCACACTTGGCCAATAAAGAATTATGTTCTATTCTATTCTATTCTATTCTATTCTATTCTATTCTATTCTATTCCTGTTCTGTTCTATTCTTGTTCTGTTCTGTTCTGTTCTGTTCTGTTCTATTCTATTCTATTCTATTCTTATTCTATTCTATTCTAGTTCTAGTTCTGTTCTATTCTTATTCTATTCTATTCTATTCTATTCTATTCTATTCTATTCTATTCTATTCCCGTTCTGTTCCCGTTCTGTTCTGTTCTGTTCTATATTCATCAAGAATCATAAGATACAACACTTAGTGATAGACATATCCATCTTATATCTATTTTACTTGCTCAACGTTGAAAGTTGCATGTCTATAACTTGAAAGCGCCTCTGAGACGAATAAAGAAACGCTGCATAAAACACCAGCCCCTGCGTCCTGTCCAGATCCTGACTTGTAAGTCGCGCTGATTTCACTGAGGGTGCCTAACTCCTGCTCTTCTCCAGGGGACTTTGAAGGGAGCTGAGAGCTAACGTGCAAAGAGCGTCGTCCCCCTTGAGCAGTTCCCCCATTTTGCAGGAGTGCTGGAGAGAACTGAAGAAAGGGAAGGCTAGCCCAGGCGATCTCTGACCCGGCTTCCCGATAGCATCCTTGGAGGATCCACCGTCCACCCATCCTCTCTAGCGGGAAGGGAGAAGGGGCGGGGCAAGGCAGGCGCTCGCGCTCTGTGTGGCCTCCCCCCCCCCCGCCCGCGCCCGGGTCCCTCGACACCTACCACCATCTCCTTGGCAGCGGCCGCCACAGGGATGGGCTGAAGTCCGCGGCTTTGGCTCGGCGCCCCGGCTTCTCCTCGCTCCCTCCGGCTTCCGAGCCCCAGCGCGGGGGGCGACTGGTGCGGGCGGCGGTCGTAGTAGTGATAGCAGGCGAGCCAAGCGAGCGCCCCGCCGGCAGCCCCCGCGGCCGCGATGCTCAACCCGCTCGGAGTCCCCTCGCGGCCGGAGCCGGCGGCCTTCAAGCCCCACAGTGGCCGGCGAGGGGCCGCCTCGGCGGGGAGACGGCAACGGCGCCAGCTCAAGAGACTTCGCAGCGCCGCCATAGAGCTGGGTCCGCGGAGTGACAGGGCGAACGAAGGTGCTGAGGCGGCAATAGCAGCCCCGGCGGGGAAGCATCGCGAGAGCGCCACGAGCTGCCAAGCGCGAGATGAGGGACTCTGCTTCCAAATGCCACCTACCCCTCCCACCCGGGATAGCCTCGTGTCCCTCCTTCCGTTATCTCCGCAGGTTCCTTGTCTGGGAGTTGCTGTTTGTGACAGCTCCGGATTGCCCAGGGCTGCAGTGCAGTCCGCTGCCGCTTGGCATCGCGAGGTGCCTGCGATTGCAATCTGGATTGTATCTGAGGAAGCAATGATGATTGCGGAGACTTTCTACGAATAACAACTCATTCCCACCAATTTTGTCTTCCTGCGCTCTGCATATTCTGAGCTTATACGGGCATAAGAATGAGTTGGCTGGTTCAGGTCCACCGAATAGTCTAGCACAGTTAAAGAGAGAACTGCCCTCTCTTCTCTATTATAATTCTGCAATGCAATTTAATTCCAGTATTTCACTAAGGAAAAAAAGGATAACACCTCAGGGCTGCCCTTATGGCAGGAGTGTAGAAGAGGTGATCACAGCAGTTGAAGCTTGTCACCTTAGCTTTATCTTTTGAAATTCTCTCCTGGACCTGCAGAAACATGATTCTCCTTTGTTCTTGCTGTGTACAAGCCAGAAACAGAGCCAGTTTGGTGCAATGGTTAAGGCTTCAGGCTGGAAACCAGGAACTTAAAATTGAGTTCTAGTCCTGCTTTAGGTGCAAAGCCTATTGAGTGGCTTTGGGCCAGTTACTCTTTCTCTGCCTTAGGAAGAAAGCAAGGGAAAAGAGATTCTAAAATCTTGTCAAGAAAACTGCAGGGAATTGTCCAAAGACTTGCCAAGAATCAACAGTGCCTGAAAGCCCCTTCCTATTTTCCCAAAAAAGTAGAAGTCAGAAGCTCCTAAGATAACTGTAGGGACTATTCTGCCACCAACTGCAAGTGTTGTTGAGAGTTACTGTATACAGTATTGTCCCTGAGTGGAGAAATTCTATTTAGATGCAGTACTAAAGAGCAACAAGAAGAAATTATAAAAATATAAAAAATTAACTTGAACATGAAATTTGGACTTCTGAATACATATGAATCAAGAAGTGAACTGTGATGTATTTTCCTTTCAAGTTGAATGTCTTCATAATGAAGTTAATTACTTTAAGTAGGACTTGCTAGTAGGCTAATTTTTTTTGTTTAATTGAAAGCAGATCTGCAAGTACTTATGTATTAGTATTTCTTAAGACCACTTAATTAAGATTTTTGCTGAAGAATAAAGTTCATTTTAATCATATAGTTAAGTCCAAGAATCCAGCTTTATTGAAGATACCAGTTATCATTCTAACTCAACTTTGGGGCACCAGGGACCGGTTCTGTGGAGAAAGGCTTTTCCATGGACCAGAGAGGGCATGGTTGCACGTGCTGCCTGCATACCACAGATGTGGCTTGACTTGTTTACCCAGCCTGGTTTCTGGAATGTTGTGGCCCGGTGCCAGTCCACGGACCAGGAGTTAGAGACCCCTATTCTAGTTAACATCTCTAGACTGAAATAAAGCAAAGCAAATATTTGTATTGTTTTCAGTTTTGAGAACATATATTAAAATATTTGTATAATATTAATATGGTTAAATATGTAGATATTATAAACATTGTAGTAGCTTTATTTTTTTTTAAAAAAAATAGGGACTGGATAAAAATACTGTAGGGGGCGATATTGAGCATCTGGAAAACTATCCTGCTTAGATGGTAAGGCGGTAATCTATTATGGACGTGTATGCTTTCTGTCTCACCACAAATGTACCTGTGGAAATGTTGTAGATCTTCATCATTATATAAGATCATTATCATATATAATGTTTTTATATGGAAATATTCACAAATGTTTTTAGGAAGAATGGGATAACATGTGTTGCATCCAAAACAGATTGAAAATATCTATTTGGGTTGAATTTCTTTCTGGCAGTTGACACTCAGTAAGTATGGGGAATTAGATCCCAGCAAAGGTATGCCTTATTGTCCAACCTTCTCCCTATCTTGATTGGGTAAACTCAGTAAGTAGAAACTAGAATGCCTTCTTCGTTAAAGCCACCAACTGATGTTAAGTGATTTTCAAAGAGCAGCTGTTTAAGGACTTGAAGCATTTTGCAGGTGTTGCTCTCTTGAAGCTGACTTTGCTAATTGAATGTATTTTTTCACTGACAAAAAACTTCAAGGTGCAGGAAAAGAGCACAGAATGGTAGAGCTTTAAATAGCTATTTGCTGAAGGAGACACAACTTCAGGGAGATAGAGGAGTCCCACTTGACTTTTGTGGGCCAAAAGTCTTTTGTAGAACATGAATTGTCCTGAACGGCGGGAGCATTCCAAAAATAAGCTTTATTTGTGTTTCTTTATTTTATTGCATGTGCATTAGAAATCCATAAGGGTTTTTCAGGGAATAAAATCAGGCTTTACAGAAGTACAGGAACTTCCATACATTGCTATAGAGTTAAAATACTGCAGGATCCAATCTGGATCGGTCACCAGGACCAGAGTTTTAGTCTTCTGAGCTTTTGGACTCATGCTGGAGCCCATCTTCAGGGAACTTCTCTGTAGCAGAGTGTATGCTTTGGGCTGTGGTATTTATATGGTGCCTGTTGTATGTGGCTTTTTAGATGTTGATTGGGGTTAAAATACTGTACAAGTTAAAATTTTGTACAGTTGTAATGTTGTACAAAATATATTAGCTATCATTTTATATATGTTCATTTTTATAATCCTTTCTTCTTTGAACTTACAAGACTAAAGAATTTTGATCTAGACCAGGGCTGTCAAATTCGTGCCCCACAGGCCGGATGTGTCACGTGCTAGCTATGCCCCTGCCCAGTTTAGCGAAGGGGGGAAAAAGTCACGATATATCATGTGACACCACTGTGACATGAGTTTGACACCCTTGATTTAGAAATTTCTGTTCTTCATTTTCCTTTGAGACTACTGCTATCATTGAAATACCAGCTTGATGTGATGTAATAATAACTCGTTTGTAAGTTTGCTAATTGTCATTCTCAAATTAGGAACTCTTGCCCCTTATCTTTCTGAACTGAAGACTGTCACCAAACTATATAATCTTTGAGATTGTATACAATATCTAGTAACTCCAGTGCACATATGAGCATAATAATTAATTGCATTGTGAGTTTTTTTAAAAAATGAACAAGATTGTTTCACCTATATATTTGTTTAACACTACTGAAAATGTTCTAGGAAGTAAAAAGAAAATGATTAGATTGCAGGATATACTTAAAAGTAGAATAATGTACTTTGAAACAACACTCTTTGAATATATTTAACTTTCCATAATAGCAATACAGAAAGAAGAAAAAAAACTTTTGGTGTTATCTTTTCCTGTCACATGATTAGTGCAAATAGCAAGGTGAAAAAAGAACCTTATCGTGTTTTTCCCGGTACTTGATAAAATGGCATAACTGCTTCCGAGCTTCAACATGAAAGGTAGCGCTTGAAAGAAGTCAGTTTGTTTTGTATTTCACTTTCGCTGCTATTCTAAGAATCTTGATATTTGATTAAAGGAGATTATGTTGAGCTTGCAATAAATGTAGCTGCCAATTGTGTTTTTCAGAGACTTTACCAATACTGGCTAAACAGACTATGGTTTTCCAACTGTTTACTATCCAATGAGAAAGTTTGACTTGCTAATCCCTAATATATGCCAAACATCTGATTCAAGCTAAAAAAAAAAGCACATTTTTTTGTATATAAACCATATGGATTCATTTTTTTACATTGGCCTTTCAATCTTTCTACATATTTGGGAGTTCGACATGCATTAACTGTTTGACCTCAACGTTAATTTGGTGGTAATCTTGATTACAGTTGAGAAGCTTCAGCTGTTCCAGAACTGCTGGAGCAGAACAGCTGTTTTGTCAGCAGGCATCTATTATATTAGTGTGCTTGTGTTTTGTATCTAGTTCAAACTTTGATATATAAGCAAGATTGTATAATGTTTCTATAAGAAACTGCTCCCTTACCTTTACCCAACACAATCTGTCCATTTAACAAATTATCTTCTCAGTCATACTATCAGTTTAGACACTAAGTGCCTATATTTAATCACTACAAAATAATAACCCCTTTATAAAATACCCTTATGAAGAGGTTTATGAACCCAATAAATATATGACGAGAAACGCTAGACTAGAAGAAATAGCAAATGGAATTAAAAGTGTTGGGAGAAACAACAACCTTGAAAATGCAGTTGATTTTGTGCTAATAGGAGTAAAGAAAACTTAAAGAGTGTCTTGCTGGAAATAAAAGAAGATAATGAAAAATCCAACAGAGAATTCAGTATTAAAAAGCAAACAAACAAATGCCAGACTAAGATTATGTCAACAATCCAATGCAGGTAAGCAGAGCTAAAAATTGAAAACTTTATCCTCAAAAATTCAAAAGGACGTGGGTGGCGCAGCCTTGTATTCCCGTGCAGCCAGGATTAATTGCTTTGGGGGGTGCTTTGGGGGTGACATTTCTCTGCGGACAACCAAAATTTTCTAAAGGCCCACCGGTGGTCCCCGGCCCACCGGTGGTCCCCGGCCTACTGCTTGGCGACCACTGATCTAGTCCAACCCCTGGCCAAAGCAGGAGACCTTACATTATTTCTGACAGATGGCAGTCCAGGCTCTTCTTGAAAGCTTCCAGTAATGAAGCTCCCACAACTTCTGAAGGCAAGCTGTTCCATTGGTTGATTGCTATCACTGTCAGAAAGTGTCTCCTTTTTTCTAGGTTGAATCTTTCCTTGAGAGTTTCCATCCATTATTCCTTGTCTGGCTTCCGAGTGCTTTGGAAAATAGCTCTTTGTGGCAGCCCCTCAAATATTGGAAAACTGATATCATGTCTCCTGTGGTCCTTCTCTTCATTAGACTAGTCATGCCGAGTTTTTGCACTGTCCATCATATGTTTTAGCCCCCATCTTTGTTGCTCTTCTCTGCACTTTTTCTAGAGTCTCAACAATTTTTTTTATAGTGGG